AGTGCTGTGGATTATTGTGATGTTTTTATCAGCTGTTTGGATTCTCATTCTGACGGCACCCATTCACTGCAGAGCATCCATTACTAAGACACATTTCTCCAAATCTGATGAAGAAACAAACTCATCCTGATCCTGGATGGACTGAGGGCGAGCACATTTTCAGTTTTGGGTGAACTATTGCTTTAACTTTCCCTTTAAATGCCACGTAGGATTGTGAATACACAGAAAACACACATCGTAGAAACGCAATACTGTGCTTTATTTCTTTAACATAACACTGAATGGTACATCTCATCCACACACATGTGTGTATCGCTGCGGTTTATAGCTATGCATGAGCACAGACAGAAGTGCTTAATGTTACAGGTGCAATAATAGAATATAATAATACTGTTTATACAACTAAACAAATCTGAAGTCAAATAAAACATGTCAAAGGGTTTGCATAAGGAGCTGGTGAGCTCAGTCATGGCCTTTATATTCCATTTGTGGCTTTTAGAATCAAATCACAGTTGAGATTATTTGTACCGTGCTCAGATATGAAACATAGAGCTGCTCTCAGTAACAGACTGATCTCAAATCAGCTAAAGCAGCACAAGCACAATCCAGAAAACTAGACACAGAAGTGCAATAATCATCACAACAGTCTTTGGCTTAATAATACAGGTTATAAAAGACACAAGGTTAAAAATGAGTGCGTGTGCATGTCCTGATGCATTGTGTCGTTTGTGTCTGAATATGAAAAAACAAACGTAAATCTAAACATTTTGGCATAATGAACTGTGCAAATGCAGTCAAAATTAACACTATATTAAAGGTCTCTCATTTTACTGATTGTCTACTCGCATCTCAAACATAAATTCAGCTTTAAACGAATGTTCTGGATTCAATACGAGTTAAAAATGATCATTTTTTGGTTACTTTTGAATGACTTCAAATGCCGTTTAATGTCACATTGTGACAACATTGGTCTGTCTGTTTGAGTGACTTCTGACTCATCCAATCACGTGAGTTTAGGGCGGAGCTATCTGTCTGACTGACCAATGACAAACAGGACGAGTGTTTAGGAAAAGCTCTCATTGCTTTTCCATGCGAGTTAGAAATGACACGCTTAACCTTTAAATAACATCAGTTACCCAAGCCCCATTATGTCAGATATTGTCTTTGGCTTCTCACACTCAAATCAACATTATGTCACAAATGCTGTCAGGCTGAAACCCAGAACGGTCCTATGACATGACCTCAAGGGAATGTAATAAATACGTTCACCGCTAAACATTACGCAGGAAAAAATAATTCTGCAAAGTAAAACTAAGGCTTCATGCAGCCACTGCCAAAGCGAGTCTGGCGGAGAACCGCACGTAACGGAATGTGCTGCTGCTGGAAAGAGTGATGAAATCTTGGCCCAAACGAAACCAGCCTTCTGGAATAAGAGTCGTACACAGAGCTTTAAATAAGAGAAACTTCACACAAACGTAACGCAGACGTCATCCTTCAGCACCAGCCACCTCATTAACAGCTAGTGTTTATACTGTGTTATAATAAAGCAATAAGCCCCAAGAAGCCGTGGTTTACAGTGAATTTATAACAGCTTCACATCGTACCTAACAACGCCCCGTAGCTGTTATAAATTCACTGTAAACCACGGCTTCACGGGGGTTACTGCTTTTATAAAACGGTTATATACGTAGTAAGGTTTCACGAAATAAAACAGAGCAAATAAAGTGTAATGATATTAATAAACACAGTATTCTTCCACCAAACAATGTAGCTCCTCAGAAACAGTTGTGGTTGCTACAAAGTGGTTGCCGAGCAACACACAAATGTAAACAAAGGTGTGTTACTTTGTAGCGTCATTTACAACAGCTTCGAACGCGGCTCAGCCAATCAGAGCCAAGCACCGGAACGCTCCGCTTTATAATGCATGATATAGCATATTATAATAATCGATACGCGTCTCTCCTTCAGAAGAACAGTGAAGAAAAATCTGAGTTTTTGTGCTTGTTGGTATTATGTTACAGTAGCTGCTATCAAAGGTTTTCTCAAAACGCACCAGAAACGCTGTGATTGGGCACAAATACCCAAATTACAATTCTTTGGGGGAAAAGCTCGCAAATTCTGTGAACATTCTCAACATTACCAGATATAAACTCAGAATTGTGAGATATAAACTTTCAATTTTAAGGGGGAAAAAAAATGAATTCTGAGTTTATGTCTTGAATTTTTCTGTTTTCTCTGAATTCTGAATTTATATCTCGCAGTTCTACTTTTTGTTTACTATCGTTCCTTAATTCCAACAATTCTGACTTTTTTCTCTCTGAATTTTTATCTCGCAATTCTATTTTTCCTCAATTTGATTTCCGCGGCAAAATAAAAAAGGCATTTGCAGCATTTGATCTCACAATTCTAGACTCTTTTTCTCAGAATTACAAGTTTATATCTCATATTTCCTGAGTTTATATCTCTGAGTTTGTATATTTTGAGAAAAAAAGTCAGAATTGTGAGAAAAAATTAAATTTTCTTATTATTTTTTATTCTGCAATATATCTTTATAATGTTTGTAAACATTTAGTTTTATTTACTGTTATGAAACAATATTTCTGAATTTTACATTATTCTAAAATGTGACTTATACACAGATGCAACTTGCATGATTTTTTTTCTTCTCTTAACGATGCAATTTATTTACCAGAAAATACAGTATTTATTTGCATGTTGGCATTTCTGTGGCAACTTGTGGTTGTCTTTTGTGTCAATGCTACACATGCAACAGAACGCATGTTTCTCGAGAAGTTACTCCATTTTTTAATAGTGTATTAAAATGCATCTGCTGAGCGCAAACACGCACAGATTCTGCTTCAGTCCGCTTCAGAGGCAGATGTTGATTTGTTTGGCTAACTCTCTCTCCAAGTCTGAAATCAGAGTGTCGAAGTCTTTCAGACTCAATCGGCACGTGAACGGAGCGTCAAAGTCGAGCGCAAACTCGTCCACGTACACACCGTCGGGAGACGTCCACACGTCCCTCTTCTTCGGCTCCTCCATGTCCTCGTCATCGCTCTCGCTGCCTGCCACCTCGTCGTAATCCGCCTCGTCGTTCGACAGGAAGTCCCGCCCACAAACGCTCCAATCGCCGGCGTAGCGGTTACAGGGCGGGCTCTCCAGCCGGCCACGCCCCCTGCGGGAAACCACCACCTGCAAGGAACTCTGGGAAGCCAGAGAGTCACCCGTCACTCGTCCTTTGGGTACTGCGAAAAAACACACATTAAACACATTACACGCGGCTAGGGGTGGACTTAACCAATGAGCGAGGTAAGCGGCCGCTTAGGGCCCCGGGGAATCAGGGGCCCATCTGCTATTGGCGGAACATATTTGGCAAACGCTCCAGTGTGTATTTTTTTATGTAGAGCCTCAAATGTTCGCTCACCGCTCAAAACGCTGAGTTTTTGTCAGGTTCTGCAAGCTCGCGAATCCTCTCATTATAACGATGTGTAGATATGATGTAAATAAGAGATTGATTGTGCAGCGCAGACAGCTTCACTGATTAACAGAACAGAATTTTATTTGTCTTTATGTTTCAAAATGACTCGCTTGTGTGCGGGTTTTTTATAAGGTCTTCTTTTGTGATCTGAAAAAAATAAGGTAGCCTAATATGGCTTTAGAACAGCATCAGGTTGACTAATTATTTACTTAAGTTGTGAAGGGGTAAATAAACTAGTTATAGCTATAACCTATGAGAGAGAGAGAGAGAGAGAGCAAAATAAGGGTTAGGTATAAAAGAGCATATAGTTATTGTGTTGGGGACCCATACTTGAAATTTGTCCCCCGCTGCACGCGGCAGATGTGCACATATTTAGACTGATGTGCCATGCAAATCTGCCTCAGCTGTGACATGCATGTTGCACATGTGCTGCGTCACGAGAACACGCTTCAGCTACTGCACACGAGTCACGGGTCGTAACATGATGCTCAAATTTCAAACACTGAATGTGCAAACGATAATGATCGGATTATATGCATGACGTTTGAAAGCATGAGCAGCACTGGAACGACAATCAAAACCAGATGACATTCAGAGAAAAAAAATGCATGGAATAAATTCATGCATGTCAAGACTTTCGTATGTTTTCACTGCACTGTAAAAATTATTACAATTATTAGTGCATTTTAAAAGTAAATACTATTTCAGGTTTTTTTTTACTTCAAAAATTAACATTTAATTTAATGTTACTTGCTGTTTTTTGTAAATGTTTGTGAAATTTACTAGCAATGTTTTGAGTAAAAATTGTTTCTACACCACTTTTTTTTCTGTGTAAAATCACCAAATGCATGACTATTTTTGACTATTTTAGGCACTGAAGCCTGAATCATTTCTATAGTGCATTTTGTGGCAATAAATATGATTTAGCTGAACTTGAAGATATTAAAAGAGATTGCTGAATAATTGAACTTAAAGAGTTGCTTTATAGTTGACATTTAAGCTGTAATTATAATTGAAATGACTGATTCCTGAAATCAAAGCAATATACACTATACAGCAAACCTCTGCCTGATTTTCTTCTATTTTGCAAAATGTAACTATATAATCATCCAGCTATAATCTGCTAAATGCAACTGTAAGGCACGAAGATATTATAAATATTAACATAATTATTTTTTGTAGAGTTGCTTATAACACAATGAATATATGCACAATGAATCTTCCATAATGTCTACACTTCGTGTGTTATAATGAGAGGATTCGTAAGCACGCAATTTTCAGCACTGCAAGAACTTTTGAGCCGTGAGTGCATTACTTAAACTCTGAGCATAACTTGTTTTTCTATAGCAAACTAAACAAAACAATGCCCTGGCAGTGGCAAATAGCTTTGGTTTAATATTTAATTTGATTACCACATTAATGTTTAAGTTGAGATTTACAAGAAATATTTGATCTGCTACTATGTGAAGGCAATACTGCTGTAAATGAGCACCTTATTTGTTTAAAGTGTTTGCAAACCAAATGATATTGCACTTTTGCAAAAAATTGTGATTAATCGCGTAAAAAAAAAAAAATGAATCGTTGCCCAGCACTAATATAAATATATATATATATATATATATATATACACACTGCCGTTCTAAAGTTTGGGATCATTAAAGAAGTGTCTTCTGCTCATCAAGGCTGCATTTATTTGATCATGGAACCTGAGATACTTTTTTCAGGATTCTTTGATGAATAAAAAGCTAAAAGGAACAGCATTTATTTAAAATATAAATATTTTCTAACAATATAAATCTTTGCTATCACTTCTTAACAATTTAACACGTCCTCGCTGAATAAAAGTTTTAATTTCTTTAAAAAAACAGAAAGAATACAAATTTGCTGACTCCAAACTTTTGAACACTAGTGTATATTGTTAGAAAATATTTCTATTTTAAATAAATGCTCTTCTTTTTAACTTTTTATTCCTCAAAGAATCCTGAAAAAAAGTATCACAGCTTCCAAACAAATATGAAGCAGCAACAGTTTCAACACTGATAATAAATCAGCATATTATACTGATTTCTGAAGATCATGTGACACTGAAGACTGGAGGAATGATGCTGAAAATACAGCTGCGCATCACAGAAATACATTACAGTTTAATGTATATTAAAATAGAAAAACATCATAATAATATTTCACAATATTACATTTTTTCCTGTATTTTTGATCAAATAAATGCAGCCTTGATGAGCAGAAGAGACTCCTGTAAAACACATTAAACATAGCTCTGATCCCAAACTTTTGTCCGGTAGTGTATATATACAGTATATTTGTACGATTTGTGAAAAAACCAGAGGGGGGGATGCTTTTGAAAACGTTTTATAGGCGTATAAATCTCCATAGGCGGAGGCTGACCCATCTACCCGTCTTTTTAGGCAAGTAGATAATAGGTGACATGTCTTTAACACGACAGAAAACTGTATTTAACGTGATCACAATTGAATAAAAACATTGTAAGTTAGGCGTATTAATTGTAATGATTTAATTTCCACAGTTATTCAAACAACGAACAGATTATTTAGAGAAAGTGAGCAAAGAACACAGCATCGACGGAGCTTTTTGAAACTCAGAATCAGTTTTGAACCATTGCGTCACAAAACGATTCACTGTTTCGAAACGCTGCAATTGGATCGTGTACCGCAAATCATTTGATTCAGATCGGGACTTCTTGTTTATTGAACTGTTGTTAAAAAAAAATCTATATCACATTTGTAATCATGGTAATTTTGGAGAAAAACGCCAAATACACAAATATTGTGCTATCCTAACAAACCATACAGCAATGGAAGCTTATTTATTCAGCTTTCAGATTATCTATAAATCTCAATTTCATAAAATTGACCCTTATCACTGGTTTTGTGCTCCAGGGTCACATACCGCACACCCCTAATATATATATAATATATATACACACACACACACACACACACACACTTTTTTTTTTTTTTTACAATTATTTTCTTTTTATTATAGACAATTTTTTTTATTAATAAATACATTTATTTTAAATAACACATTTATTAATTGTTTATAATATTATGTTTTATTAATGAAATATTAGACTGTTTTATTATATGAAGAAAGCAAGTAAATGCTGTTTTGGGTCACAGACTCACCAGGCCAGAGCTGCAGGAGATAGTGCAGCGCCTCTATGTGTCGTTTAAAGTCCACGGCGCTGGCGATCTCTTCACTGTGTGCAAAGCTACGGCCTCCTCGACCGGCCCCGGACCCCGCCAGGGCCCCTGATCCGGGAGCCGTCATCCCGGCCTGCCACGACTCCTGTGTGGGCGTCAGGAGGACCGGCCCGAAACACACGGCCAGATTCTGACACGTCATGCGGTTGCTGTCGCTGTAAGACGCCACCAGACTCAGATGATCCAGCAGGAAGGAAAGAGTCGCCTTCAGCACACACACAAACACACACCCATCAATCAACAGCAAGCACTAAACATGCATTAGCAACCCGCTTTAATTCTGTAATATGACAATTTAAAAGTGAAACTGGTATTCAGTAAGGCAGGATTTGATTCTAATCACACAGACTTCTATGCATTTGCCAAAATGTGCAGTATTGGGTACTGTAACCCACAATGCAATGCACTTTACTTGAGCTTTCAAGTGCAACAAATGTACCAGAAATATCAGCTGTGATTTACCACAAAAGCAGTGTTGAGTCGCTGGGGGATATTTGTAGCAATAGCCAACAATACATTGTATGGGTCACAATTATACATTTCTCTTTTATGCCAAAAATCATTAGGATATTAAGTAAAGATCATGTTCCATGAAGATATTTAGTAAATCTCCTACCGTAAATATATCAAAACTTAATGTTTGATTAGTAATATGCATTGCTAAGAACTTCATTTGGACAACTTTAAAGATGATTTTCTCAATATTTAGATTTTTTTTTTTTCAGATTCCAGATTTTCAAAACATTATCCTATCCTAACAAACCATACATCAATGGAAAGCTTATTTATTCAGCTTTCAGATGATGCATACATCTCAATTTCACAAAATTGACCCTTATGACTGGTTTTGTGCTCCAGGGTCACATATAACAGAAGACTGGTTCACTGGGACTGATGAAATGCATGCCGTGATGATAAGCACGGAGTCAGACAGATGCATTACCCGCTCTGCTTCAGGAAGACACTGCAGCAGTGAGACGGTGTTTTGTGATCGCTGAGCGTCGCTGGTGTTTCTGCAGGCCGGTCGAACCATCATGGCCTCTAACACCACTTCATACAGGGTCCTCGTGATGAGAGGAGACGGCAGCTCTCGCAGGTAGTCCTTCAGAATGCCTGACAACATTACAAAACAATCAATACTTTCCACTGTAGAATTACCTTCAAGTACCTTGATATACCAAGTAAATTATGCAAGCGTTTTAACTCCGAATTCAGACTTTTTTTCGTGCAATTTTCTCACAAAATATAAACTCAAAATAAAGCAATAAGCCCCAAGAAGCCTTGGTTTACAGTGAATTTATAACAGCTACGGGGCGTTGTTAGGCACTCTGCGAAGCGGAGTAAACCACGGCTTCACGGGGCCCACTGCTTTTATAAAACGGTTATTCCATATACGTAGTAAGGTTTCACAAAATAAAACAGAGCAAATAAAGTGTAAAGATATTAATAAAAACAGTATTCTTCCACCAAACAATGTAGCTCCTCAGAAACAGTTGTGGTTGCTACAAAGTGGTTGCCGAGCAACACACAAACGTAAACAAAGGTGTGTGTTACTTTGTAGCGTCATGTACAACAGCTTCGAACGCGGCTCAGCCAATCAGAGTCAAGCACCGGAACTCTATGGTTTATAAAATGTGAGATATAAACCTGAATTCTAAGAAAAAAATTCAGAATTGTGAGATATAAACTCAATTTTGACAGGAAAGTCAAGATTCTTTTCATCTTCTGACTTTTCAAACATACAAATCTGAGTTTATATCTCACATTTCAGACTTTCTTCCTCGCAATTCTCAGAGAAATTCAGAATTGTGAGATATAAATTTGCAGTTGCAAGGAAAAAAAGTCAAGTTTGTTTCCACTCGTTATTATTTCAGTATCATTTTAAGTATTACAGTTTTGTTAATATTTTAAATTTGACTTTTAACATTTTTTAGATTTTAATAATTAATAATAATTTAATTAATTAGATTTTAGATAAAGTTTTAGTCATTTTTGCTGTGCATTTTTGTCATTTTATTTTATTTGTTTTGTTGTTTTTAAATACGTCTATATTTAAAAGTATAGTAAAAATAAAAATTATTTAAAATTTTTTAAATAGTTTGTGTTCAATTTTATTTTAGTTTTAGTTATTTTAGTATATCACGTTAAACTAGATGAAAATGAGAAATGTTGCCTTGGAAACTAGTTGAAATGAAAATAATATTAAGCTTTTTATATTTTATTTTATTTCAGTTAACATTTATTTAATTTCAAGTAACAAAATCTTTTTTTTTAACGACTTTTTTCCTGCCAAGTTTCCATCTTACAATTCCAACTTCACTTCTCAGAATTCAGAGTTTATATCTCACAATTCTGACTTTTTCTTATAACTACGAGAAAAAAATATCAGTACTGTGAGAGACCAAAGTCAGAACTGTGAGATAAAATGTTGATTTTACTTTTTTTATTTTTTTTTATTCCATAGCAGAAACCAGCTTTCATAGTTAATATGTGGGTACACACTGTATATCAGACTGTGTGTTGTCTGTGGCTGACTGACCGGTAATGACGTTGACGTCGGGATAGAGCTCATCATTTAAGGTGACCGCTGCACTGTCCCTCTCAAACAAAATTTTTTAAATAGTTTGTGTTCAATTTTATTTTAGTTTTAGTTATTTTAGTGTATCACGTTAAACTAGATGAAAATGAGAAATGTTGCCTTGGAAACTAGTTCAAATGAAAATAATATTAAGCTTTTTATATTTTATTTTATTTCAGTTAACATTTATTTAATTTCAAGTAACAAAATCTTTTTTTTTTTACGACTTTTTTCCTGCCAAGTTTCCATCTTACAATTCCAACTTCACTTCTCAGAATTCAGAGTTTATATCTCACAATTCTGACTTTTTCTTATAACTACGAGAAAAAAATATCAGTACTGTGAGAGACCAAAGTCAGAACTGTGAGATAAAATGTCGATTTTACTTTTTTTATTTTTTTTTATTCCATAGCAGAAACCAGCTTTCATAGTTAATATGTGGGTACACACTGTATATCAGACTGTGTGTTGTCTGTGGCTGACTGACCGGTAATGACGTTGACGTCGGGATAGAGCTCATCGTTTAAGGTGACCGCTGCACTGTCCCTCTCAAATGCATCCCGCAATTCCTTCTTCACCGCCGCAGAGCCACAAAGACGATACAATCCCACCACCTACAGAAACGCATAGTCTCTCAGTACAGTCATATTTAACGCACATCGGGTCTGACAGATCTCTGAGCTCGTCTCACCTTCAGTCCTCTCCTCTCAATCTCAGAAATACACTTCTGAATGATCAGAGGCACTTTGAGCGCAGATGCCTCCTTCTCCACCAGGTGGCGCAGCTCCATCCCAAACACTTTAGGAGGAGGCAGGTCACTGAGGCGGGGGAACGGGGTCACAAACTGCTCCAGAAGGGTCAACTTCACATACAGCAAACCGCGAGGCTCCAGACGGACACACAGCTGCTGACTGCGAGAAGCTGCGAGAGAGAGACAGACAGACGAGATAAAGAGATAATGGCAAAGCGCAAGATCAAAGCCAATGCAGGGTATGGCTGGGTGGAAGGGCTGTTGTGCAATGGTATAAATGTGTCAATGCTACAGAATTTATTATATAATGGGGTCTTTCCTTGTCAAATCTACCAAATTTCAGAAAATGTTAGATTTTTTTTTATACTTAAGTGTTTTGCTTACAAACAGTGATGAAGACTAAAATATTAAAAGTCATGGATGAATATTTACTGAATAATCCACTCTTCTGTAGAGAAGCATCAAGATGAATCTCACCTGAGATTTGGAGCCCCATTAGAGGGGGAAAATGACTTTATTAATATATTTTTAAAGAGAGATTGGTATATTTATACAGAGATTGGTAGGTCTATTAGTAAAATCTGTTGATTTTAGCACTCTTTGTTGCATTATATGCCAATGGTGACAGCTCAAAAATGGGAGCAAAGCGCAAGATCAAAGCCAATGCAGGGTATGGCTGGGTGGAAGGGCTGTTGTGCAATGGCATAAATGTGTCAATGCTACAGAATTTATTATATAATGGGGTCTTTCCTTGTCAAATCTACCAAATTTCAGAAAATGTTAGATTTTTTTTATACTTAAGTGTTTTGCTTACAAACAGTGATGAAGACTAAAATATTAAAAGTCATGGATGAATATTTACTGAATAATCCACTCTTCTGTAGAGAAGCATCAAGATGAATCTCACCTGAGATTTGGAGCCACATTAGAGGGGGAAAATGACTTTATTAATATATTTTTAAAGAGAGATTGGTATATTTATACAGAGATTGGTAGGTCTATTAGTAAAATCTGTTGATTTTAGCACTCTTTGTTGCATTATATGCCAATGGTGACAGCTCAAAAATGGGCAAAACAGCACTGCTCATTTTAACCTCAGTTTTAAGACCAGCTGTGTGAAGTGCAAGTATGCTGGCAATGCAGCTTAACTTGTGACAAACTCTTACATAATAGAAAGCCTGACCATACCCAAACTTTCCGCCCTGATGATGTCGGCCTCAGTTTGAATCTCTCTCATTTGATGTACACCGGTAGGACTCAACCCCCCTGATCGTTTCTGATCTCTTTTCTCCTTTGCCGATTCCTCAGTTTCTCTCCTTCTCCACGGATCTCCATATTTTTCCTGAGCTGCTCCTCCGGTGGCCCTCGAGTCGTCCTCTTCAGGAATGGGGTTGTACCAAATGTTTCCATCTCCGCCTGGGCCCTGTCGCCACTCTGTTATTCTGGCTGGGAGGACTTCATCTGATGACTGGGGCTTTCCTGTGGACAGTACCCAGGCCCGACTACTTCGGTCCAGGTGCTGGAGGTAGGCACCTTGCCCAGAGATCTTCGCTGAGCTAGAAGAGTCACACATATCCACAAAATTTGTAGATGCAGGGGTCAACTCCGGCAAACCGGCGTCAATGGAATCGCATGGGGTCCTGGAATATCCAAACTCTAATTCCAGATCATTCTGCTTCCTCTTCAAACCATCCTCACTCAAAGTCCTTTGGCTCCAGGCCTGTTTTGAGACCTCAGCCTTTCCTGAGCACAAATCCCAGTCCTGTGGCCCATAGACCAGGCTCGTACACAGATCTGTGTTGGCTGGGTCTTTGCTTGTAGAGGGAAGTTTAGCCCAGTTCTGTTTTTTGGAGACTGTGATCTGGGAGCGTCTGGTACACTCCTCCACGGTGGAGCTCTCTGTCTCAGCATGACCTGAGGTGGATGCAGTTGATGAAGAACTTTGGAAAAGGTCCACCTTCCCTGTCACTTCTAAGGCAGAAAAAAGAAACCAGCAATCGTTACCATAGCAGGAGTTTTTGGCCTTATTTGGTGTTTAAATATTTGTCTGGATTGGAGTGACTAACTTGAAAAATGGATCGCTGGAGACTTGCAACACTCGGAAATATCAAATACCACAAGTAAAAGTGAAACTGGGGGCGATTAACCTTTACAAGGTTTGATTCCTCCCTAAAACAACATTTCTGAGATGAGTTTACAGTGACGTATGTGGACAGAGAGCAGCGAAGAGAGAGGACAACTGGAAAGAATTTTTAAAAAAGACCAAAAACAGACATCGAGAGGAGGGCTGCAGATATTTACCATCTCCTTCTCCCTCCTCTCTTGCACATCTGGAAGTTTCTCCAAGTTCCTCCCCTGTTTTCCCCCTCTCTCTCTTTCTGTCTGTTCTTTCCCCTCTTGAAATTATGAGCGTGGCTTGTGACACACAGTTAGCCAAATATCTTATCCAATTCCAGAAGCCATGAATAACTCCCGTGTGCCCTCCAGTTCGGCTCTGCGCATTATCTCTTCTGGCTTGCATGACTCTGGAAGTGCTGAATAAAAACATCTCTGTCAATTGCTCTTTAGTTAGCACTGCACATGAGTATGTCAAAACCGTTGCTAGTTTACAAGGCCAAGACAACACTCCACAACCAAATGCCTAAACCGCAAATGCTGCTTAAACACTGCACAGAGCTCTGATGGAAAGTTTGACAGATAGGAATGTGCAAGTCTAATTTGAGGGCGCACAGAGAGCCGGATCAGTTTGAAATCAATTGGGAATACAGCAAATTGGATTTCCGTGCACTCGCCTTAACCCGCCCGTCTGAAATTACCACTGGTCATTTGATGCCTAAGTGTGTTTCAGGAAAAGTTCAAATTCAGCATTTAGATGAAATGCGACTTTCACAGGCATTTCGATGTCTGCTGAAATCGATGCATTCTAAGTGTTCTCTAACAAGTGGCTTTCCTGTAACTCAAGCATTAGAACATGGCGCTACCAATGCCAAAATCAAGGGTTCGTTTTCCAAGGAATGCATGAACTGATACAATGTAAATGTGCACCTTGAATGCAATGCAAGTTGCTTTATATAAAAGCATCTACCAAAATGCATAAATGTAAATACAAATGACATATAGTTCAAACTCTGTTTTCAATAAATATCCTGGTTCGCTCTGAAATATGTCACATTACAGAAGCCAAACTGACTTCAAGATGAAAACAGAAAAACACAACACAGACCCCTTTATGCTTCCCTGAGCAGGAAGTGTTAAACTACGTTAAGTGGGCCAGCAGATGACTTCCTGTTTTGCCTAAGCAGCCAAGAAAAAGAGGAGGAGGGGAAACAGACAGCAAGAAGCTAGAGCTACTTGCTGAGATATTTCACAGACAAAATGCACAGATAAACTGAAGGAAGATGCAGAAAAGCCTTTGGCAGACACCTGTATCCATGCTTTTTTTTTTTTACCAGTTCATGCATTCCCTGAGAATCGAACCTATGCCATTGGTGTTGCTGGCTTTACAGGTTGAGGAAAGCAAATATTCAAAGATTAGGATAAGGAATAAACAAAAAGTAAAAAATGAAGACAAAAAGATAACAGTGGCACACATGGAAGTCCGAAAAGCCAAAACAGGGAGCAATTTCAGTGACAAACACACAGCTGTTGGGCCGTTGAGAAGTTCTCAATGAGCGGTCTGTGTAAAGGGCTTTCCTTCACAGCTGGACAGACACACACTTAACCCTATTCACTATTCATTACAACACCCTAGAATACACACGCTCACACAAAGCACGCTCTCACGGGCGCTCACCCTTCACCTCTGACGCTCATTCACCAGTCTGTGTGTTTATGAAGTCCTTTCTGGGTTTAAACAGCACATTGATAAATTGGTCTGGCTCTATTTAGTTTGGTGCGACGCGAAATAGCCACATGCACTGGAAAACCTTTACATAGAGCTTCAGTTTAGTCATTCACAGACAGTAGATCAACTAAGATGATTAATCAGATGATATTTGGCCATTTTTACATGACCAGCATCACCAATAACATGTTTGCTTAGAGAACTAACAGAAGTGGAGTTACACACACTGCCGTTCAAACATTTGGGATCAGTAAGATTTTTAATGTTTTTAAAAAAGTCTCTTCTGCTCATCAAGGCTGCATTTGTTGTTTAAAAATACAGAAAAAATATTATTTGTAATAACAGAAATATTATTACAATTTAAAATACAGTTTTTCTATTTTAATATACTTTAAAATATAATTTATTTCTGTGATGAAAGCTGCATTATTACTCCAGTCTGCAGAGTCACATGATCTTCAGAAATCATTTTAATATGCTGATTTATTATGTTGAAAATATGTTGAAAATAGTTTTGCTGCTTCTTATTTTTAGTATCTGTGATACTTTTTTCAGGATTCTTTGATGAATAAAAAGTTAAAAAGAACACCATTTATTCGAAATAGAAATCTATTGTAACAAATAGGGTCGGTACACTTTTTTTCTTTTGAAAGAAATTAAAAATTTGTTTCAGCAAGGATATGTTAAATTGATAAAAAGTGATAGTGAATACTTACATTGTTAGAAAAGATTTCTTCTTTAAAAATCTTACTGATCAACCTTTGAAACAACAGAATCTGAACAGTATCAGAAACTACACATTTCAGCTTTAAAGCACTGAATGTTAAAGTCAGCACAGATGTGTTTCGAAAAAATAATCCATGACAGATCGCTGAAAGATAAAATGTGATGAAAACTGACAAGGCTGCGTGCATGTTTGTTTGCTCCAGAGTTTATTTACCATGTTTGGCAGTGTGAAATAATTAGTGGCAATGTTTGCTGAGAATATTCACGGCGTAACGGTTAAAGAGTTTTTCCCAGAACGCCGATCCCTCTCCCCTTCAGCCGCCCACATCTCTGCTGCATAATTTGAGACATCCCCCGAAAACACAAGCCAAACTATTAATA